CCAAGACAAGTGGCTAAATTTGTGTCATAGCTATAAATTGCATCTGAGTCAATGACACGTGCATATAATTTTTTATATTTAAAAGAGGTGCATTTCAATTTCTTTTTCCCCAAATTAAAAATTATAAATAAATATATAAAAACCAAAGAGTTAGACAAAAAAAAAAAGAAAAATTCAGCGTGGATGTTCTATTTTTTTTTGACATGTGACAATCATGAATAAACATCATGTGTTATTTAATAAATACATTTTTAATTTTAAAAAATCAGTATATTTGATTTGATCTGATTAATTTTTAATGTAAAAAAAAAGTAAATTTATTTCATTTAAATTATTACATTTATTTTTTTAAAATATTCATTACTCTTACCTTATATAAATAAATTCAATTCAATTTGTAATTAGAGTTAATTGTTATTTACCTTAAATTACTCTCAATTAAATTTTACTCTTAGTTTTTCATACCAACTTCAATATTATAAATAGGAATTTGTTTTTGTCAATTAGAAATAATAGTATTGGGCTTTTGTTCTATAATTTTATTATCTTCTGATTCTATTTTTTTTTCTTTTTTTTATCATTTATTCCATGATTTGTTTCTTTTTACTTTCAATTGTTTTATTTCTCTTTATTTCAAAGTGTGGTTTTCTTTTATTTTTTTAATATTAAAATTCACTTTTTACCAAAAAAAAAAAAAAAGAAATTAATATGCTTTTAGTTTTTAGAACAATATTAGTATAACATACAAATATGTTGATATGCCTTAATAATTAATCTAAACATTTCATACAATAATGTCGAAATGATTTTCAGTTTATATTTTAATGAAGTAATTTATAATTTTAATGTGCAAATGTATATATGTATGCTATGTGATTAATATTGACTACAAAATTTTACCAGCTTTTTGAATTGGTAATAAGTTGTTACCAGGAACATGTTTGGCCTCAAATATCATAGTGAAAGATCATTGCCATGAAGAAAGTAGGATATGGTATAAAAGGGAATGTCCAAACAGATATGGATAGCTTACACTAAATAGTTTGCATGGGATTAACATTTTATAAATTACAATTATTCCAATACCAAATGAAATTCAATTATCTTATACATATCAACGAAAACAAAATTTTAATTCGTTATCTAAATTATAAATGTATTGATTTATTAAATATTATTATATTTAATGAAAATTATGCTAATTGATTTGCTTGATCATTTCTTTTGAAAATTCAAAATGAAATTGAAATTCACAGTAATCACTTAATATATAATTTTCGTCAGTTACGATTATAATTTTCTTTTAAATTTGAGAAATGCATTAATTTTGAGAAATGTGTTACAAATTTGAGAAACATATTAGAAATATGCCGAAAAACAAAATTGTTGTCTATTAATTTTGAGACTGTAGCGCATTGGTTTTTAAATTAATTGATGTTTATTAAGTTTGAGAAATGCATTAGAAATATGTTAGCATTCATTGAAGTAAATTGAATGGAAAATTGGATCCAGTAATAAGAAATTGTGTTAATAGGCACCAAGGTTTTAAGAGTAAGTTTATTTTTTGAAATTAAAGTAAAAATAAAGTTTTTGGACAAGCTAAATTATCTTAAATTATGGATCAAAACTAAATCAATGATACATTATAATGAAATAATTTTTTAATGATTCAAAGAATTAATAAACATTATAATTACAGTCATTAAACATTTTTTAATGATTCAAATAATTTAATAACCACTATAATTCCTCCATCAATTGGAATTACAGAATAAACAATAATAAAATCAGTTCACATATGATCTTTCTAATAAACTGTGGTCCAATCCATTCAGATGTACAGTAATTTTCTTTTATAAATGATTTAAAAAATTAATAAATATTATAATTATGGTCCTAAAATATTTTGTTTAATGATTTATGAATTTTTAAAGAAATATAATTAATAAATTAATAAATACAAGAATTACAATCATAAAAGAGTTGATTCTTTAATAAATTATTTGATACAATTATATTTGACTAAATATGATATCCATTTGAATAATTGATGTATTTCATATGTGAATATAGAAAACATATATTTCAAATTAATTCTCCATAATTAAGTTAATAAAATAAAATATTTCATTCTCAATCAACCAACTATTATTTGACCATTATTCACTCACAATTTTTATTATTTAAATATTAACATTCATAATTTAAGTTGCCTTACTAATTAACCAATAACATATCTTTTATATAGATTGGTTTAGTGTTTTAATTTCCTATTTCATATAATCACCTTTGATATTCTCTAAAATCAAATAACACTACCTGCAATTCTTCTTTTACTTTTTTTTTCTATTCTTTACTGCGATTTTATTTCAAAAAAAATACTCATTATATTATATTTTTTAATGAATTGAATTGGTTTTTCATGAAATATAGAAGTTTAGTGAAGCCGAGAAAATTTTTCTAGTATATATGGTTAGAAAATTTTTATCATTATTAACTTGACCACATTTCACATTTGCTTTAGAAATCCTGAGGAAAATTTTAACTAAATTTTCATGCCATGTGGAAACAGTTCATATCAAAATAGGAAAAAAAATCAAAACTTTGATTCACTTTAGTAAGAAAGTCACAAAGAAATTTCTTCTCCGAAAATATTGCTTATAAATACTCCCACTTAGAAGCATATACCATCCTCATTCCTCAAACATTGTTTCTATATTCCTAGCAATAGAAAGCCATGAAAAACGTTTCATTTTCTGCCATTTTCCTTCTTGTCCTCTTCATTGCTATTGGTATTTTTTAATGATTACTTGCTCAATTTTTTTTTTAAATTTTATTACTTGCTCAATTTTTTTTAAAAAATTCTATCTTATTTGAAAATTTTGAAAAATTTTAATTTTATATTATCCGTTCGAGCATGTATTTAATTTGATTTGATTTTGAATTTTCTATATATATATATATATATATCTTACTTTTTTATGTTTGATTTGTTCATTATTCTTTCATGAAATATATATTGAAAATCTAATTTTTAAAATTTGAAGTTTATATTCACTGTTTGTGTGTTTAATTATAATTAGTGACTAATTTTGAAATATTTGGCACAGGCAATGAGTCAAAGATGGCAAATGCAATTGTGAATTGTGACGTGGTTGGCCATGGAGGAGGTTGCGAAATAAACGAATGCTTCAATGGTTGCAGGGCGAAATATGGGGAAGCTGCTCATGGATTTTGCTACACTATTAATACTCCCAATGATACTTGCGTCTGTCGTTACCCTTGTTGATTCCATGCATTTTCTATGCATATTTCTGCTATCCTTATGAAATAAACTCGTGTTTATAATCCACCCTCGGCTTATATCAACTTTATTTCCTACTATCATGTACTTGCTCTCTCTTACTTCTAACGATAAAGATAAGTTATGGTTTGTGTAAATATTTTAAGTCAAAATTGTAGTGTCTTTCTCCTTTTATATATTTATATATATATATATATATTTATATAAACCTCGAATTCAAATCTCATTAGCCAAGATAAAAATTATCAAATTCAAATCTCAATTATAACTTAAAAAATAAAAAAAATAAATGTAGCCATCAATCAATAATTTATTTACCTTTATTTACTTTAATAAATCGGTTCAATGAAGTTTTATTAAATTATTTTTTTAATAAATTTTAATCAATTTTAAAATTATATTAAAAGAATATATTTTAGTAAGTGATCGATCGCATCTAACAAAAAAAATAATAATAATGATTCCATTATTTTTTATTTTGTTTTTAAATTTATCGGACGGACACAAAACCGTTACGACAAAATCAATCAAAAAAATTTGGTTTGTGTGAAATTTTGATTTCATACCTTTGATAAGAACATTCATTCGGACACATCTCCATGGTCATATTAGCTTTTAAGCCATGGAGCAATTTTAAGTCAACGAAGCTTAGGAAAACGATTGACGTAACCTAATTAAAATAAATCTAAACAGGACAAAGCTGAAAATTAGTGGCCAAGACAAATAGCTAAATTTATATTATAGTTATAAATCCTGATAAATACATATTATTTTTTATTTAAAAGAGGAGGATTTTAATTTCTCTTTTCCCAAATCAAAAAAGAAAATACAAATTAATAGATGAGATAACATAGATGTAAAATTTAAATATGAAATCAAAGAAACACTTTCAAAAGTTTGCCAACAAAAATCTACTCTTATTTTAATTTTCAAATGTAAAAAATACTCTGCAAATGATGCTATTCACTCTCTTTTTTGAAAGATTTTCTTGCACACTTTTTCTCAAGGGGACAGCCTTCTGAAACATATCATTGCTTCCCTTTAAGTTCTCTGTTGGGGACTGACAATTGGGAAGGAGAGAACAACCTTTACATTAGTTGATCTCTCTCCCATCCTAAGAACAAAGGGAAAAAAAGTAGACAGAAAACCAAGAGTTTAATTATTAGATTCTGAAACTTTGGAACTTAGATGAATGCAATTGAAGCAATCCATTAACTTTGTTTAGCTGATAGAATCAAAGAGCCTGACATATTTGTATATTACAAAAAAATGTATCATTTACTGCAAGACACAGGACAGAGCATATGTTCAACAGAAGAATCTACAACGGTACAAGCAAGAGCTTGGTCATGGACATGGTCATCGTGAATATCAGGCACACATGGAAAACCAGGAGTCTAGTTAGCAGTTTCTGAAATCTCAGATGAAAGCAATTGAAGCAATCCATTACCTTTGTTTAGCTGATAGAATCAAAGAGTCCTCTTACAAATCAATGTCTTACAAAAACTGTACCAACCAGTGCAAGAGCACATAGGAAAACTACTTACCACTTTCTGAAATCTTGGATGAAAGCAATTGAAGCAATCCATTAACTTTGTTTAGCTGATAGAATCAAAGATTCTTACAAGAATGATATCAACCAGTGCAAAAGACAGGACAATGCACATATTCAACGGATGAATCTACAACAGTACAAAAAGCTTAGTCATGGTGATCAGGAATATCATGTACACATAGAAAACCAAGAACTTAATTATTAGGTTTTTGGGTCTCGAATGAAAGCTATTGAAGCTGTCTGTTAACTTTGTTTAGCTGATAGAATCAAAGAGTCTAGCAAGTCAATATATTACAAAAACCATATCAACCACTGCAAGACACAGAGAAATGCATATGTCTAACAGATTCATATATGGTCCAAGCAAGAGCTTGGTCATGGTGATCATGATCATCAGCTAGTCATAGAAACCCAAGAGTTTAACGATTAGTTTCTGAAATCTTGGATGAAAGCAATTGAAGCAATCCATTTAACTGATTTTAGATGGTAGAATCAAAGAGTCTACCAAATCAATGTTTTACAAAAACCATATTAACTCCAGAAAGCTACAGAAAAAATGTATATGTTCAACAGACGAATCTAACGGTGCAAAGCAAGAGCTTGGCCAAGGCAAGTTTCAGGAACAAAAACTTGAAACCCTAGAATACTTAACAGAGTGATAATTTTGTAATTTCACTAGAAAGCTTGAAACCCTAACCACAATAATCAAAATTCGGGAACTTTGATTGGCTGAAACCATCAACAGAATCATTGAATTAAGTTCTAAGAAATTGTATGATAATACATAACTTTAATTGTTAACAACAGTTGAAGCTCATTTACAGTAACGATCAGCTTTCTTCTTAACGCGATCATCGAGGGCTTGTTCAACGGATTTGGCTTGAGGATTTTGGGGATCGTAACCGAACTTCTTAGCCTCCACAGGGAACAGCTCCTCGTACTTCATCTTTTTAGCTGCATCAATGGTGTACACATCTCCTCCAGATTCCGAGCCTTCAACGGCAGAGGCAGCGGCGTCGAGGGAAGGCTGAGATCCGTCGTCTGCGTTCTTTTTCTTCTTGTGCTTCTTCTTGACTTTGTCGATGGATTTGCGAGTGGCTAAGCTTCCTCCCTTGAAGGTTAGTCTGCCTCCTTTCACTCTCTCGTACGCCTCCGACATCGTTCTGGTTGGCACTGCTTTTCTTCTTCTGATTTCTTTCTGGTTGATGATGATTTCTGGATTTTACTTGGAATCCAGTATTCCTTTTGCTGAAATAATTTAGGGCTCAAACAGTCGAACCGCCATTGGATTCCTTTCCCATTTTTCTTTTATATAGTTTTGGACTTCCTAATGTGTCCGGCCCATATTCAGCCGAATCAAATTATAAATGCATTTGCGGCCCATATTTATTTGGTTTTGCACGCAACAAAAAAAATATAGATACCATAATTTATATTAAATATATTTAAAATATAAAAATTATCATATCATAATTTATATTAACATGTCAAACATGAAATAATTTTTTTGTTTTGTCGCTTTTACATATTTTTCGTTTTTCATTTTCATATTGTTTTACTTTTAAATTATCAAAATTATTAGTAATAAAATATGGTGCCGTTCATAGTTTGAATCTTTTTTTTTTAATTATTAGTAAAAATCTTAAATTTATCATTTAGCCAATATAAAAATTATCTTGTTAAATTTATATCGACACATTAAAACATGAAACACATTTTTTTTTGTCAAATTTATGTATAATATTTACTAAAATTTTAAATCTTATCCTTTTTGTTAAATATATCGCAACTACCTATGATCTTGTTAGAGTGGTATCCATTGGTATGGCTAAGTTCACCGGTTTGAGTTTATGTACTTTAAATTGTGTATATTTTTTATGGCAGAACACTACAAATGAGTAGATGAGTTGTTTAACTGAGCCTGTTTGAGTTTGCAATTGATAGGATACCATTGCTTGTCTCTTAGAGAAATACATTCAGCTTAAATAGTGGCTATACGGGGGATTCAATTACAATATCAAATCATTATTGAAAACACAACTTTGCGATTAAAGCATTGGATTATCAGCAATGACATTATTGTAGTGCTTTAAATCTAAATTATGTTTTGATCTGAAACATCCTAGTTTAACTTTGCCATTTCAGACCGGAACTGTCTGAGTAGTAGATGACTGTTGGTTCTCGTTACCATGGTCTTCATTTTCACCTGTTAGCTCTTCCAATGATTTTCCCTTGGACTCAGGCACCAAAAGAGTACACACCATCCCAAGGCAGTTGATTGCACCAAGCACAAGCAGTGAATTTTTCACTCCAATACCAGGTCTGTAACCTTTATCAGTCTTTGATGGATCTGTGCTTTGTGATGCGTACAAGAACCCAAATGCACCAACTATGGCCCCAGCTTTGCCTGCTGCCGCTGATATCCCATGGCATGTTGACCTCAGCCTTGCTGGAAAAATTTCAGCTGGCACGACAAATGTGGTGGCGTTGGGTCCAAAATTTGCAAAGAAAAAGGTCAATGAGTACATGATAAGGAATCCAGCGTGGTGAGATCTCCAGTGATGGTAAGGGATGGCAAGAGCAAACATGAATACTGTCATGAAGAAGAAACCCATCAATTGAATTGTGAACCTGCCTATATAATCGATGAAAGCCACTGTAAACCAGTATCCAGGGACAGTGCCACAAAGTGCAATAAGTGTTTGTGCCTTTGCAACCCGATAAACCTCATGAGTTGCACTCATGATTTCAGGTTTTGGAAGCCAACCTATTGCACTAAAGATGTCTTTTTGAAACAGATTGGAACTGTAATAGGCAATGTCCAATAAGAACCAAGTAGTAGTTGTTCCAACCAAGTGCAGTCCATGGCGCCGGGCAAATTCCTTACTGAATAGACCAAAAGAGTTGGATGGTGCTGTTCCTATCTTTTCTACCTTCTCTTCTTCAACTTCCAGCTCCACTTGCAACACCTTGGACATGTCTGCAGCAGCCTGTTTTGCGTTTCTGGCTACGAGGGCGGTGTATCGGGCTGTTTCTGGCATCTTCATTCGCCAGTAGTAAGTGAGGAGAGCAGGAACTGCTCCAAACATCAGAATGATGCGCCAAATATAGTCAGCTTCACGCACAGTTGAGCCTGCTGCGTCAATTTTATATGGAGGGGCCTTATATGCATGATCAAATGCAGCTGACACAATAAGAGCAACAATTCCACCTGCTAAAATTCCAAATCCTTGCATTGCAAAAACTGCAGAGATAAATGCTCCACGAGTCTTCTTGTTGGCATATTCAGACATGATTGTGGCCGAGAGGGGATAGTCACCACCAATTCCAAAACCAAGCCAAAACCTGAAAAAACAAAGTGTTGCCATGACACCATTTGGAGACTTTCGAAAGGAAATCCCGGAGGCAATGGAGCACACCACCATGAGGATTAGGGTAAGCCCATAAACTCGTTTCCGACCCAATTTATCACCAAGCCAGCCAAAGAAAAGCTGACCAGCAAAAGTGCCACAAAAGGCCACACCATTAACGGCAGCTGCTACATTAGGAGGCAATATTCCAGGTTTTGGATCTCCTTCAACGTGGTAGTAAATTCGGCCAAGCAATTTTGTGATAAGAAGAGATGCTAAAACAGATCATAAGCATCCGTAAAGAATCCCATTCCTGCAATTACAATGTGCAGTCGAAATGATACCATTGTGTCCTTGCTGCATCAATGCGTTAAGAACTCCATCTTCGTTTTAGGCCATAGCTAGCTCGGTCTTAACTTGTGACTAATCTTCCTCAAAATGGGCTGATTGTTACACTGACAAGATGATGAAAAAATTAAAAAAACTAAATTCCAAATTGATCCTCTGCTCTTCACTATATGTATTCTGCCCGATAAATCATCACTAACAAATATAATTTAAGCATTGATAGAGGATCGACACGGTTTGGGTCGAGTATTTTAACAATTGCCAAAACCGACTTTTTTAAAATCAGAAATTGATCGATCCTAATTTTACATTAGTTTTTATATTTTTCCTCATCCAGGAAATGGATAAATCCAAATCAAAGAGAATAATCGTTCTAAAAGAAACAAATTAATTACTTTCCAGCTGTTCATCAAAATTATGGAAAACATCAAGTTCACATGCAGCATTCCTTGTAATACATCTTACTTCCTTAAAGATTCAGAACTGCCTGACCTTTTGAAGACAAATACCTGCTCCTTGGCCCAGGCAAAAGGAAAAACAGGCCTGAGGTTTTTTGGTGATTTAGGTGTGAGAAAAGTGTGATCAGCAGTCAAGGTATTTAAACTACATCTAATCTCTCAAGTTCCCCAAGAATCAGCTAAGGTATCAAATAATGGCATATACCATTTGAATATTTCCTTCATTATTACCTTGAAAGTCAATGGAATTTGACAAGAATTCTCATTGCTGCTGCTTCTGTCCATCAATAAAATATGTTTATTCTTACATTACATTACATTCACATTTTCTGCCCAACACACGGCAACAGTATCCTGAATAATGTCGCAGACAAATGGACATGAGGATAATCTTCAAACTGATTTGTCTGTTCTTTTGGTTTTTTCAATGATTATTTCTTTATCATTAATGTCAATGTACCAGCATATAATTAAATCTATTAAGAAGAAAAAGTTTTGGATTTTATGTATGTATGTCAAAGCTATTTGAACCAGAAACAAATTTTAAAAAGTGGCAAAGACAATAGCATTAAACAATTGATGGGTTCAAACTTTAGGGGCATTCATATTGGAAATTGATCAAGCAATTCTCAAGAAATGCAACTTGGAATATTTTGTGCATCTATCAAGAACCACATTTTTCCATTGGAGACAAGAGAGAAGTTCCAAATCAATCATAATCAAAACTTGATGATGCTGATGATCAGCTAGATAAATCTTGTTAAATTTTGTGGAAGTCAACAAGCAAGTTCTTTCACCCTTTTAAAACTAATAAAACATAACCACGTAAAGTTTTTCCAAGTACTTCTAATTCTAAATTAAAAAAAAGAAAAAACAATGTTAGCATAATTTAGATGTATGGCATTATTTCAGCTGCCCTATTGAACCAAAAGGCATGGTTTCCTAATTTTGCAAAAGGATGGAACTCAATTTTTTTTGTTGGAACTGTCAAAAATGGAATTTTAATATTTTAAGTATCGAGTATTTTATTGACAGATTACATTGCTATTGCCGGAACCCATTATTTTGAAGTAAGTTAACAATTTTTTTTTTTTTAAATGTGTTTTTGTTGATTTGAAAAACTATAATAGTCGTTTTTTTTTTTTTTAGCTTAGTACTAAGAAAGTGATTTAAACGCGTATGAAAGAGTTGAATATGCAACCTATTCACTCATCAAAACACCTATTTAACTAATTTGATGATTACTTTGTAAAATGGTTAGCCATACATAATATTTGTAGTCTCACATTTTGCTTGAAATGTAGAGATTATGATTAAAAACTTGTTAAGAAACAGCCAATGAATAAACTAATCAGCCTGTTAAGAAAGAAAATCTGGCTGGCTCATTGACCTAACTTATAATAATGAATTTGAGAACTTATTAATTTTAAGTACAATTCATTTTTTTTCTTATTTTTAAGTACAAATACTTGATTATTATTTATTAATAGTTAAAAAAGTTAGATCTGATTATGCTAAATATGATATGGTAATACAATTAAAAAAAAGACATAAATGCGATATAATTAAAATTTTAACAAAAATCATATGAGTTTGATAAAAAAAACTAAAAAAATGAATTTTGTGTTTGATATGTTAATACGAATTTTGACATGATAATTTTCGTCTTTTATATATGTTCGATGTAAATACACTAATTTAGTAGATCTAATAAAAATATCAATTAACATTGTAGGTTTCACACCTTTTGGAGTATGTTTAATATATAATTATATAGTTTAATGCAAATTATCTTGGCAATTCTATATATACAAGAGTATCTATATCTAAAACAGATTCCTAGAACATATCTACACAATACATATTGAACTACCAAGAAAGTCATAATTGGGAAAAAAAAAATACTATGGTTTTCATTATCATTTTCAACATAAGTATAAAATATGTTGCTCTCATTATTTCTTTTTTCTTTAAATGAAGGCTTTAAAAGATAAAAATTGACAAGTATGATAATTAAATAATTTAATAATTATATGGGAGCTTGAATGGTCCAACAGATTACAAATTGTTGATTTCGTATTAAACTGTTTTAGTGTAAAGGAAGAAGATTAATTGATCATTTACCATTTATTATTGAAGTAATTAA